AGAGAGAGAGAGAGAGAGAGAGAGAGAGAGAGAATAGATATAATTGTTTCCCCCTGAAATTATTAATTTGGAGAAGGAGTTAAAAAATAATCAAAGCCCAGTGTATATTATTTATGAGGATTTTGTCTGGAAACATTTTTTCCTCTTTTATGTTCCCCTGTTGAAGTCAGTCCAAGGGTTAGAACTAACTTAATGATCAGTTGTTAGAGCCAAGGGAGGCTTAGGATTCTCCGTGCTGAATGTCTAGAGGTCTCCTGGACACAAGGGATATAAAGTGCCATCAATTCTAAATGAGGGCCCTTAGTTCTTTAACTCTAAGTGAGGGAGCTCTGGTGACATAAGGGATAGGGAGCTTTGCCGTTGATTCAAGAGAATGCAGTTTGAATCTACCAGCTTTTCCAAGAAAAAGGGTGAGCAATTTCCTTCCATGACATTTACAACCTCTGAAAACCCACTGGAGAGTCAGCTGAGTCAGTTTCGCTCTGATAGCAAAGAGTTAGTTGGTTATTGGTAGACGAAAGATAAGGTAATAGATTAAAAGATACTCCTAAATCTGATATGCTAAGGCGGCATTCTCCTGTAGAGAAAAACAAGAGTCATGTAAGTTTGTTCTGTTTTTGCTTCTAGTAGTCACATGAAGAGTGTAAAGAAGGGTAAACAGGTGAAATTTATATTCCAGATATATTTTATTTCACATAATATATTCAAATAGCATCATTTTGGCTTGTAATTATTGGTAATATTATTACTATTGTTATGTGCCACCAAGTTGCCTACAACTTATAGTAACACTATCTACCATAGCTCTGAACTCTGCTCTATCCTGAGCTGGTCTCATAAAAAATTATTGAGAAAATGTGTTGTTTTTTTTTAAATTTTTTATTTTATTATTTTTGTGTGGTCTCTTATCTGGCTGGAATTCCTTGTGCCCACCCTCAAGTCTCCCTTCCGCCCAGGAGCACGCCGGAAATGCTGGGTACCTTGGAAAAAACGCCTCTTGGTCTCTTATCTGGCTGGAATTCCTTGTGCCCACCCTCAAGTCTCTCTTCCGCCCAGGAGCACGCCCGAAATGCTGGGTACCTTGGAAAAACGCCTTGGAAAAATGCCTCGAGCCAGATAAGAGACCAAGAGGCGTTTTTCCAAGGTACCCAGCATTTCCAGTGGGCCCTAGGGCCTG